ACACACACACACACACACACAGTTTGCTTACCGCTCTGTATGTGATTAACACGAGCACTGCTTGTCTGTAGTCGATATCCCTGATGTAAAACAGTCTGTACAATAATAAACTGGAATATCCATGACTCTTTTCCCCTATACAATAATACTAATGGCATTTTCCCGCTCAACAATAATGATGTTTTTTCCCTCTGTGACAGACAGTTATGAACAACTTTAAACTATTTAAAGTTTGTCGCCTGTGTTGTTTTGGTTGTGTGTTTAAAAAAAAAATTGCAACGATAGATGTTTGATAGGAAAGAAAAACCAAACCACACCAGTGCACCCGCCAACCACCAAAACTTCAGACTATACGACTATACGGTCTCTAATGACAAATTTAGCCTTGATAAATCACCACCATCACTACAAACTCCATCACCACCACTTCCACAACCACCACCTCCACAACAATCGTCACCACACCACCATCACCATCGTCACCACTGCTTCCTCAACCACCACCTCCACAACCATCACCACCACACCACTCCACAATCACCATCACAATCGTCGCCGCCACTTCCTCTGCTATCGTCACCAAAACCACCGCCATTACAACCATCACCATCACTTCCATCACCACTGCCACCACCATCACCACCAACATCAGTGCCACCATGACAACATCCGCCCCACCATTACTGCAACCACCACCATCATTACAACACCACCCTCACCATCACCATCACCACCATCACCACCAACATCACCTCCACCATTACAACCACCACCATCCCCACCGGCGTTGCCTCACTCTAACCATTATTACTTGTACTTTATTTATCAAGGCTAAATTTGTCATTAGAGACCACATAGTCGTATAGTCTGAAGTTTTGGTGGTTGGCGGGTGCACTGGTGTGGTTTGGTTTTTCTTTCCTATCAAACATCTATCGTCTTTATCTCCCCTCCTTCCTTTTTGTGCTTTTTACTCTCTGGAACCGCCTCTAATCTTCGGCACTTATATATGAACTTATTGTGTTGCAAGTGCCGTTAAACGCTTACTAAAATGTAACCAAAAAAAGTCTGAAGTTGTCCCAATGTTCCCCTCAGCTGCTGGAGTACAAGTCGTACACGTACACATACCTACTGGCGGACACACACAGCATGGAGGCCATCCTCATCGACCCTGTCATCGACACCGTGGACAGAGACGTCAGACTGGTCAAGGATCTGGGGCTCAAGCTCATTGCTGCTGGTCAGTATGTCGTCGTCGTTTTGTCGTCATCGTTTTGTCGTCGTCCCCTCTCTCTCTCTCTCTCTCTCTCTCTCTCTCTCTCTCTCTCTCTCTCTCTCTCTCTCTCTCTCTCTCTCTCTCTCTCTCTCTCTCTCTCTCTTCTGACTTAAGTTAATTGTTAGGGACATTGTCTGACTTTGGTTGACTGAGAGGGCTTTTTTCTGACTGGTTAATAATTGAGAGGGATATTTTCTGACTTTGGTTAATAGAGGGGAACATTTTCTCTCTTAAATTAATCAAGACATTTTCTAACTTAAGTTAATTGAGAGGGACATTTTCTTACTTAAGTTAATTGAGACATTTTCTGACTTTAGTTAACTGAGAGAGACATTTTCTAATTTTGGTTCAATGGAAGGGGACATTTTCTGACTTACATTTATTGCATTAACAAACT